CAGCCCCGAGGCCCCAACAATGCTCGGCTGGGGACAAGCAGTACAGAATCAGACAGAGCATCTATTTAAAAGCAGTACAGAACCAGAACGAGCATCTATTCGGCCCCGAGGTCCCAATAGTGCTCGGCCGGGGGCAGACAATGTAGAAAACATTCAGACATAAAAGCCAAATAGCATCAGATTGCAAGTTCAAAGAAAAAATTCTATTATCGAACAAAAGGCACAGATGGCCTCATAACCAGCAGCAAAGAAAAGAAAAGAGAAAAGAAAAATTGTCTTGGCAAGTGCAGAAAGAAAGCTCGTTATGGAGACCGAGCCACAATACATCAAAACAGAAAATCAAAAAAGTTTAAATCCTTTCAACATCAACTTTCAGTAACAGAGGGAAACTCAGGAGCAGCATCAACAATTTCGTCCAGGCCGTCTGGGGAAGGAAAAGTAGAGGCAGCTCCAACTTCCTGAGAAGTAGAAGCCTCCTTAACCACATCTCCTGCGGCTTCAGTCTACAGGGTTTCAATCCATTCAACATCCACCGTTTCAGCAGCAACATTATTGTCCTGGGTCTTGTTTGCAGAATCAGTTTCTGAGGAAACTTCAGCTGGAAGAACAGCAGGGATGGAAACAGTCTTTGAACCCAAGGATCTTGAAAGAACTGGAACATCCTGAAATAGTGAAGAGCCTTCAAGAACCAGCACAGCAGCTAAAGCGCTCGTCCAACCCTTTAGAAAGAGCTTGTCTCGCAGCACTAGCACCTCCTCCTTATATGCCACCCCAGCTTCATCCCAGCCTTGTTGCCAATGCTTGGCCTCCAAAGCAGAACGCTCGGCGGCCATCACGGCAATAACGGCTTCTAGTTCGGCCACCTTCCCCTTGAGTTGAGCCTGTGTCCCAATAACAGCCTCCTTCGATTTTTCAACTGAAGCGACAATCTTGTTCAAACGAAATGCTTCCCTCTCCACGGTTCAGCGTCCTTCATTCTCTGCCTCCAAGCTTACCGTCAGTCTCTCAGCGTTCATTGCGGCCTCCAGCACGGCCCTTTCTAGCTCTTCAGCACGGGTAATAGACAGATGCATTCTCTGGATACACTGCAAAGGACAACGAAGAATTAAGAGAAAATGAGACAGCAACGCAACAATAAAGACAGGTAAAACGAGGAAACACTTACATCAGTCATCATCTGAAGGGTCCCCTTCAGGATAAGAATATCACAGGGCCTATTATGGTCGGCCATGTCAACCGGCATCAACAAAAACTTAGTCAAATCAAAGGCAAAATCTTGTGAAGCGACAACGGAATCAGAAGTGGAAATGGGCCTACCTTTATGTGACATTGGCGGCTTCCATTTCTAAAAAGTCTCATAGCTTCCCCCACCACTGCTTTGCCAGCCTCTCTTCTTCTCTTTTTTGCTCGTGTAGCGATCGAAGTTGAGGACTCGGCAGCAGTCACAGGGGTCCCAGAAGCTCCCACCTCCATCTTCACTTCCATGAGGCTCTTCGCTTTGGTCTTTTCCAGAGGGGTTTCCAAAGCATCGGAGGCTTCGAAAGCCTCGGCCTCTAAATCCACCAACACCCTTCTCTTCGCCACAGACCCGTCCCCTGCGAAATTGGGGGTAGGGGAAGGCGCTCTCTCAGAAAGTGCACCCTGACTCCTAGGGCTGAGCAAGGAATCCGTGAAATCCGTAATCCGATCCAGTCCAGTCCAATCCGATAGGTTTGGATTGGTTTTTTGAATCGGCGGTTTGGTTCCGGATTGAAGAATTAAAAATCCGTAGTCTACGGATTGGTTCCGGATTGAACCCCACGGTTCTGGATTGGAACCGATCCGGACCGTATACAAATAGTCTATACTTTTATTATACATCCTCCCCCATAGTATCTTCTCTTATTCTATATAAAATCTAAACTCAAACCTAAAACCGTATAATATCTTATTTTATTACTTTTGTTTGTATTTTCTTATGGTTGTTTAAATTCAAGAATAGCATGTCACTATTATAGAAAAACATGTTGCTATTATGGAACTGATATAGCGCTATGTTTGTATTTTTATGAAATTAAAGTGTTATATATATATATATATTTGTTATTTAATTATGTGAATCCGTGGTCCTAAACCGATCCAATCCGTATTTAAATGGATTGGTTCGGATTGGTTCCATGATTTAAACGGATTGGATTGGTTCCAATTTTTCAGGAACCGTAGATAACGGATTGGTCCTGGTTTTACCCCAATCCGGTCCAATCCGGACCATGCTCACCCCTACTGACTCCTGCGACGGTTTGTGAGCAAAGGAGTGAGAGATGTGTCAGTCTCGGTATCAGAGTCCAGAAGGGAAGCAGTGAGCCTCGCCTTCTTTGGGATGGTGGAACGGTAAGTTGACTAGTAATCCAATAACTTGGGTGCAGATCTCTTTTTATACCTCAGGGCAGCTTTTATGGCTTCAGCATTTTTCCAGTTCGGTTTTCGTTGGAAACGAGAGGCCTCTGCAAAAAAGAAGTGAGCCATTAGAACGACATCCAAAATAAAGTAAAAAATACAAAAGGCGCTAGAAGGAAAGGCCTGAACCTGGGTAGGCGTCTTTCTGGGGCATTCGCTCAGACTGAAACTCAGTTCCGGCGAGGAACTCCCAGTTTCCACCAACTTGTAAGAAATCATCATTGTGTTTATCCGAATCAGGCAACCCAGTAACCAAATGGCAATCAAACGAGCGAACACGCAAGTAATACGTGCTGTGGTCTTTGTTATGAGAAAGAGTATAATAACTAAAGATATCCCATATGTCAAGGTTCAAACCCAATCGTCTATTGAGGGCGAATACGCCACAAACAACACGGAAAAGGTTCACAGATACTTGCATTGGGGTTAACTGGACTTGATGCAGAAATTGGCGCACCAATGGATCAAGAGGAAACCGAACCCTACCCTCGACTATGGCCACGATGGGAAAAGCGACGGTATTCCTCGTGCCCATACGCTTGGCGTCTACTTTCGCCAATAAAAGGGTAACGTCGTCGGGAATATTATAATCCAGGCGGAACATAGTCATGGCCTCGAGGGTATCAACCAATGAACGGAACTTCCCCATTTAATAAACCTAATGGGACAGAGGTAGGACTCAGATAGCAGAGTGTGGAACACAGACAACGAGTGGGCCAAACAAGATGATTAGGACAGAAAGAGGCAAGAAAAGAAGAATCACAAGAGGACTTACAGAGACTAGAATAGTGGTAGCAGAGCGAGACCAGCGGCGAAAAAGTCTGAGCAGAGCACCACCGAGACTGGTTCAGAGGGACGGGAAGAGTTCTCTCTCACTCTTTGAAACTCTCTAGAGGAATGAAAAAGCAAATAAAAGGATTTTGTATTGACAGCCAGAGCATTAATTGCACCAGTCGGCGTGCAGGTAAACGGAGCACGACCTTCGGTATGGAATTGACGCACTATCTCTACACACCTATCCCACGTCGCCACGTGTCACCTCGAAAGGACGCATGCAGGAATTATGTGTCAGGATTGAACCACTACCAATGCTGAACTGGGGAAGAATCGAAGCGACACAACGCTTGGGAAACAGAACAATAGCTCCCCTCCAAGGGGAACCTTAGCGCGAGCTAGGGGGCAAATGAAGGAGCTGAATATGAAATGGGTCGGATCCAAGCCTTGGGCCGGCCCAATCTAATAAAGCCCAAGTTCAAATGGATTAGATAAATATATGGGCAAGCCAATTGAGCCCAACTCCATGATCAACAGTCTACCCAAGTCCTCAAGCACTTGGACCTAACCCGCAATGGAAAGGCTAGTCCAGCTGCGACGCTGGGCTAGGCCGAGCCGAAGGACCGAACCTTTGGGCTGAACAGATGTGGGCCGAGCCCACACTAAGATATCTAAATAGACCAGCCCATCCCAACGGAAGCTTTGAATAAGGCCGAGCCGAGGTACTGAGATACCGAGCAGAGGGAACCTCACAGGAAAACGTGGTAGTTGTGAACGTGTGCATGTGCAAGTTGCCACCTTAGTTGGGTCTACCCAAGTCCTCAAGCACTTGGGCCTAACCCGCAATGGAAAGGCTAGTCCAGCTGCGACGCTGGGCTAGGCCGAGCCGAAGGACCGAACCTTTGGGCTGAACAGATGTGGGTCGAGCCCACACTAAGATATCTAAATAGACCAGCCCATCCCAACGGAAGCTTTGAATAAGGCCGAGCCGAGGTACTGAGATACCGAGCAGAGGGAACCTCACAGGAAAACGTGGTAGTTGTGAACGTGTGCATGTGCAAGTTGCCACCTTAGTTGGTCCCCTACACCCAGAATCACAGAAGTTGTTGAACCAAAGGAATGTGGTTTGTTATCAGCATGACTACAATGAGTATATGCATTCAATGACAACTACCAGGTGGTCTCTCACCTTGACCAATGCTAAAAGGACACCTGGTAGCATCCAAGCTCCATGAACCCATCTTGAGAAGCAAGCAAGGAACCCTATATATACTACATGAACTTCACATTGAAGGTAACTGAACTATTCCGAGCAAAATCACACTCAGAGATAGACTCAACTCTATATACACTTCTTCTCCAATCACTAATTCCCACACCGGAGAGGTTATCTGGCCAACCCCGATCGGGCAGCTCTAACGGTGCTTCTTGTGGCAGGAACCTCAGTCCTTGGATAGTCCAACTGAGTGCGGGGCCCTGATCCACTTTCATCTAGTGCAGAATCCGGTACACACCAATGATGTTAAACTATCAAAAACCGGTATGATTCTCTTAAGTACATATGTGACGGCGAAGCCAACTCCAAATCCGGTTGCCAAAAAGAAGCTGATGATCTGCCAAATTAAATGAAAATATCATATAAATTAATTGATAAAATACAAGATTTTTTTTTAGAATGAATGAATTGTTCTTGGAAAATAGATGCTAATGATGGATAGTGGCATTTTTGGGAACCCAGTCAAAACATCGGTTGCCAATCATGTTTTTTTTTTTTTGAACTGGAAAAGCTCTCAAGCAACAAGAGAATCAGAAACTAGCAAGTTCCTTAAATACATAGGAGGATTCCTAATCCAATCTAAAGGGAGAGCATCCTGTATCCTTGAGGAGGCAAGCCAATGGGCCACAGAATTAGCAGCTCTAGGCACCCAGGAGAAGGAAAATGAGGAAGCTTGGCCCGTGGACCGAATGTCAGATAAGTATGCAAGGCACTCCCATGGAGGAACCAGTTCAGAAACACATAAGTCAATTACTGATTTGCAATCACTTTCCACCTGGAAATTTGAGAGTCCAAGAGCCTGGAGAAACATACACGCTAACCAGATAGCGCGAGCTTCGCCTTGAGTAACTGAAGATGTGTGAACTATGGAGACAACACCATCAATAAGGTGACCTTTCCAATCTTGCAAAATCACTGCCAAGGAAGTCTTCTTGCCTTTGGAGGCAAAGCTAGTGTCACAATTCACTTTAAACATACCGTGAGGAGGAGGAGTCCATCTATTGCAAATTTGGACCGCTGAATTAACAGATACAGGAGAAGAATCTGCCAAAGCGACCACCGAGCAGCCCTCCCTTCTGAGAAAAGAAGCCTGTCTGATAACCTGCATTGGGTTCACTTCAAATTGATTGAAAACCCACTCATTATGAGCCTTCCACAGACACCATCCAATCGTGGCAGCCTCGCCCAAACGCTCTCTGCGATGCCGATCATTAGGACAACTTTTGAGAACTGCCTGAGTCCACTGTGTTGCAGGAGAGGAAGAAATGAACCTCAATAAGTAGCCGAGATCACACCCAAACCACACAGGCCTAGTCCAATTACACTGAAATAGAAGGTGTTCAATAGACTCCGGATAGACACCACAAATAGGATAAGTAGGGGAAGGAGTACAATGCCGGCGATGAAGATTTTCTTTAGTAGCTAAACTGTTAGTACACACCCTCTACCAGAAATTTCGAACTTTGGGAGGCACTGGAAGAGACCAGATCAGTTTCCAAAATTTTTCAGTGGACTGAACTGAAGTAGAAACCCCATAGGCTGCCCTTGACTGAGCCTCTCGCTGAACAATTCGGTACCCACTTCTGACTTCGAAATTTCTAGTTTTGGTGTGGTGCCAAACTAGAGAGTCATCTTGGTTAACTGAGGATATGGGAATGGTCATGATAGAGCTAGCTTCCTCACGTCCAACCAACTCTCGCAATTTAACAGAATCCCATTCCAGGAGATTCGGGTTTATTACCTTGCTGACCCTTTGAACGTGGCAGTCCTGTGGCTGAGGATTAAGAACTTGAAAATCATGGGACTGAGGAACCCATTTATCCTTCCAGAAAATGATAAATTTGCCATTGCTAACTTGTCAACGAAGTCCCTTGGTTAAGAGTTGACGGCCCTGAAGAATGCTAGCCCATGACCACGATGGCCTTTTACCCCTCTTTCCTGAAAGAAAATCTAATTGAGGGTAGTAAGTCCTTTTAACACCTTAGCTCAGAAAGAATGCGGGTGCTTGAGGAGTTGCCAAGCTTGCTTTGCTAAAAGGGAAAGATTGAAGGAATGGAAATCTCTGAACCCCATACCACCTTGAGATTTTGTCAAAGCCAAACTAGGCCAGTTGGTCCAGTGAAAACCCCTATCCAGTGGATCACCCCCACCAAAAGTTGTTGATGTAGGAGTTAAGTCGCACACAAAATTTCTTTGGAAAAGAAAAGCAGGCCATAGCATAGGCCAGGATCGCTTGAATCACCGATTTAATCAAAACTTCCCGGCATGCTTACGATAGCAAATTCTGCTTCTAGCCTTGCATCTTGGTGACTGCCTTCTCAATTAAATAACCAAAAGCTTCTGACTTCGATCTACCCCAAAACAAGGGGAGGCCCAAGTATTTTGTCCCTCGAGAACTTGGAGACATCCCCAGCAAAGCATTGACTTCGGACTTCACATTGTCAGATGTATTTGCTGAAAGGATAATTCTTGATTTCTCAAAATTAATCCACTGACCAGAGGCATAGCTATACACATCCAAAATTGCCTTAAGAGCTTGATAGTCCCTCATATTTGCCTTAGCGAAAAGAAGGGCATCATCCGCAAAAAATAAATGAGTAATAGTGGGGCAACCTCTAAGCATTGTGATTCCCGAAAGTAACTTCTCACGAAGCCCGTTGGATAGGGATAGTGACAGACCCTCGGCAATGAGAACGAAGAGGTAGGGAGATAGAGGGTCACCCTGCCGTAAACCCCATGAAGGAACTACAACCACTCGTTTGAGACCATTAACAAACACTAGGAAAGAGACCGTGGACACTAACTCCATAACCCATTGAATCCAAACAGTAGCAAAACCCATCTTCTCCATTATAGCTCGCAAAAAGTCCCATTGAACACGATCATAGGCCTTGTTGAAATCAATTTTGACCGCCATTTCATGCACAACACTTCTTTTCTTCAGCTTCAAGTGATGAAAAGCTTCATGGGCCACAATGATATTGTCTTGAATCAATCTACAGGGAACAAAGGCCGATTGTTGAGGCGAAATGATATTCTGAAGCACTGGTTTGAGTCTGTTGGCAAGAATTTAAGACACAATTTTGAGCTTGAAGTTGCACAAACTGATTGGCCAAAACTGTGAAAGTGTCTCGAGATTTTGGACCTTTGGAATTAGCACTAAATTGGTGTGATTCCACTCCTTGAGGAGGTGACCAGTGGTAAAAAAGGTTTTGATTGCCTCACAGACATTTACACCTACCACATCCCAATATTTGTGATAGAAAACTCCCGAATAGCCATTAGGCCCCAGGGCCTTTAAGGAACCAAGTTGGAAGGCAGCAACTTTGATTTCTGAGTCAGTGACTGGTTTGGTTAACCGTCGGTTCATATCTTCAGTGACTAGATGCCTCACTACTAAAAGAGAAGGAGCCAAATCCCTTGCCTAATCACTCTTGAAGAGGGTAGAGAAATAGCTAAACAAATGAGAATCAATATCCGCATCTGAGGTTAGCCAAAATTCCCCAGTTTCTCAAGCACAAAAGTTGTGAAATTTTATAGCTTCAAAAATTATGAAAGTTAAAACTTTGCAATTTTTGTGGTTGGTGATAGTCAAATTTCTTAGTTTGTATATTGTGAAATTTTACAATTTAGATTCACAGTTTCTGCACAGTGAAATTTCACAATTTTTGTGAAACTACAAATTTTCACAAAATGCCAACTTTCACAGTTTCTAAACAAAAGCTATGAATATTTGTGAACATGAATAAATTTCTTGATTTTTAAAAATACAAAAAATTCTAGTTACTGTAATTTTTGTAGTTTTATTTTTCAAAATTTTATATTGAAATTATTGTTATTGTATAGGTTTCAAAATATAATTTTAAAAAAAAATTGTGTAGAGTGAAATTTATTAAATTTAAAAATTTTGAAACCAAAAAATGTAACTGCTTAGGTAGGTCAATTAGCTTGTTACGAGCATTTCACTTTTTAACAAGATATGAATGTTTTGGTCATTGGTTGACGTGTGGAACTCAACAGATTAAGGAATTTTTTGTGCGACTAATCTACTATAAATTCACATTGTAAGATTAGAATTCTAAAAATAGAAGAAGGTATGTCTAGTAAAAGTTACGTACATCCAAAAAGAGCTGAGATGAAGCATGAAATTTGTGAATGGGTTAATTACTATGACTAAATTTTAGTTAGAATCTTTACACAGGTGATGGTTCTGAGTATTGCTGCAATCAAAAACTCTCATTCTCATATTAAGATGTTCGATACAACAACAACAAAAAAAAAAAAAAAAATTTTTACAAAACAAAAACTATTTTACAAAAAAAAAAAAAAAAAGAAAAAAAAAAAGAAGAGGGGGAGGATAAATCACAGTAACTGTTTTTGAGGTTTGGAGAATATATATTAAATTTTATAATTTTAACATAATTATATTGACATCTCTTTTAATAAGGATAAATTAAATAAATTAATGCAGATGGTGTAAAAACTTAAAGATAAATACGGTAAAACATAAATTTTATTGTAAAAGTGATGGCATTATTTTTTCCACCCATATGATTAATGAATTACTAATAAAAATGAGATTAATGTTCTGTTTGTTTGGGAAAAAATATTTTTTGGAAAATATTTTTGGTATTTTTGCCGTTTGGTAACACGGGTCTATTTGGTAACGTTTACGTTTTCAGTTTATATTTACAAAAATTTTATAAACTGATTTTTGTTTATTTTTAGAAAAATATAAACTACAAACGCGTTTGATAATTGGCAAAATGTTTAAAAAAAATTTAAAAATATAAAAAAAGAATGAGAAATGGCAAGTGGTGGCAAGTAGCGGCGGAAGACGGTGATGGAAAGTGGTGACGGTGGGTGGTGGGTAGCGGATGGTGGTGGTGGGTGGGTGACGGTGGCGAGTGGAGAGATTTTCTTTCTTTTTTCTTTCCCGACCCCAAACATAGCCTTATTAAGATTTTAATTGGTATATACACACAAATCAATTGAAGCATTCAGTAGTGAGAAAGATCAAAATCCATAACACAAACTAAGATTTTCGATGCATGATCATGGAAACATTGTTGCACTAATCAGTTCACCTCAAAAACTAATTTTATTTTCTACTTCTAAACTGAAAAACGACAAATTTGGGCCTAAAAATTATTCACACTTCCTAAAAGCCTCCTCGCTAGGCTAGTTGATGAAATTAGCATTCTAAATCCTAATGATTAAATCTAACAGCAATCGGAAATGAGATTGCACCATTTCCAACCAAGATCGTGCTTTCACCCGATGGCAACAGATTGTATGCCTTGTAGTCGACCATGCCAAGGCTCTTACAAGCATTCAACACAAACTCAACCCTTTTACTCTCTCCTGCTCGCACGAAAACTCTTTCGAAAGCAATCAGATCCTTGATAGGGGCCGCAAGGATGCCCTTTGGTGGGACTTTGTAAACCATCACGACTTCACTTCCATCCATCGTCCCTGTATTCTCAACTTGGACCTCAAATTTGAAGTCTTTGTTGCATTTTATGTCATCGATCAGAATTGCAGGGCACGGTGGCTTGTAGGCACCGTCAATGTAGTTCATGTTGCGACAATGTTGGAATTTGTCTAGCTTGATGTGGATTGACCTCTTGGAGGATACAAGCTTGTATGTGAATTGGGTGTAACTTAGTCCGTATCCAAATGGGTATACAGTGGAGCCATTGAAGAATTTGTAGGTTCTGCCAGGGTAGCCTAAGTTGTCAACTGGCCGTAGTGGCATGGATGTCATTGGTAGCATATCAACATAATCAGCCTCATACCATGTAAGCGGCAATCTTCCTCCTGGTAAATAACGGTATTAGAGTACGTATCATTATCGTTCCATACAATTATATATAAGTTCGAGTATGGGTTTACCTGACTCATACAGTGGATTAAAGCGTGTTGTTTGGGCCTGTCTGATTCATCACAAGTCTTATTTTGATAATTTAAACCGTTTGTTTGTTAATTTTTGTGTGTAGAGTATTCTTTTAAAAAATCAAATTGATCCAATATTCAAAACTATATGATTTCATTATGTTTGGTTTCAAAAAAATGGGCAACACTTGTAATTTTAAAAATTGACCATTCAAATATGATAAAGTTATATGGCTATGAACATTGGATCAATTCGATCTTTTATGGATAATTTACATACAAAGAGTTACAAAATGAACGATTCAGATCGTTAGAATAGGACTTGTGCTAGGCTCTACAAATCCAAACAATATTCTCTAATCCACTGGATAGAACCCATTCCATATCCGTCAAGAATATATGTATATATGTACAGACTCCATGTATATATATATATATATATCTATATGTATATTTACAAATTGAATCAAATGAAAATGGATTTTGATATGTGAGATCTACATAAATAAAAAAAGAAGATTAAATCAACACAAGCATCATTTAGTTTCTTCAAGACAGAATCAAAGACGATGGAGATCGACGAACATGGAGATCGGCGATGAATCTGTGGTGTGTTGGACAGAAAGTCTTCCAGATCGAAGACGAAGGCAGGGACAAAAAGTCTTCTAGATCTCCGCGGCAGCGGCGGAGGCATGCCGACGAACCTATTTGCCATCACTCTTCGCCACCCACCTGCCACCACCATCGACCACCTGCCACCACCACCCGCTACCACCACCACCACCACCACCACCACTACCACCACCCACTCGCTACCACCTACCACCCGCCACCGTTACCCACCCACCCACCACCGTCACCACTTTCCACCACCGTCTTCCGCCGCCACTTGCCACCACTTGCAATTTCTCACTCTTTTTTATATTTTTAAATTTTTTAAAACATTTTGTCCA